TCAAGGTTTGCCGTTTTTCGCGGACAATTATGGCCCAAAATGGACAGAGTTTACGACCACCGCCCATGAGCAACTCCCTGGACATCATTTAGAGGTAAGAATATTTCAGTTTTGTCCAAAAAGTCGATAAAAAAAGATGAGAAAGGGTGAGAAAATGTTACGAGCACTCGCCTTCCATAAAGTTTTTTAATGGGAACGGAGGGGAATCAGCTGTTACCAACAGAGTATAAAGGGAGACCATTGAAAACCTACTGCCAATGAACTATCAATGAGGGGAGGAGGGGGTCATAATGATGCTAGAACAGAACCAAAATCCTCCGACCCCACTCTCCCCAGGGCGATAAAAAATTACCGGTCTCCAAAACTTATTCAGGTCCTTAGTAGTCGATCTCCTGATTCCTCTTTTCTTGTTTGAGGGTTACAATGAGGTTAACTGTTAGCTGTAAAACGTCATAAGCAGTGGCGGATCCAGGGGGATTGTCCCTAACGGACCTGAAGCTTATAACTTTGAAATTGAAATTCTTACATCGACAGGATCGTATACCACTTTTTAACTAGTTGATCTTTTTAACGAATCCAAGTAAACGGTAAGCGACCAACGAATTATAACGTGCAACCGCGACTGGTTGGAGGGGGTGTGGGGGAGAAGTAATTTGCCTCAAAATAGTCCAACAGTCCTTTCTGAACCAAAGTTTGGACCCCACCAATCAAAAATTATTGGATCCGCCCCTGGTTCTGGCACTCAAAAAAGTAATTAACAAATCTTTCATGAGGAGAGTCTTGTTCAAGAGACTGCGCTCTTACCTTGTATGAAACAAAGGCATGGACAAAAAAATACCAGAATAAAAACAACTGCTTTCGATGGTCTGATTTTACAAAGAACGGCTTGCTGGATGTGCAAGGATGGAGCTGGTACATGAAAACTTGCCTGTTCTCACATGTGGGTGGGTTTGTTGCTCCGAGGGTTTCCTTGTGCATTCTCTGCATTTGCCCCCACTTAGCCACTCAAACTAACACTCACCGTGGAACTGCTACTGCTAAAATCTAATTGTTTTTTCAATTCACGATTTTTTTTTTCAGCTGAAGGAGGAGAGATTCAGAAAAAAGTGGCCCAGTATCGCCCTTCAGCTGGACCGAAGAAGGAAGCTGATCCTCATTTGATGGCTCAGAGCAAACATCCAAAGGTATTTACGTGTATCCATGTATAAAAAGCTGAATTACGCACGCCTTTTGACTGGTTCTTACTTATGATCTTTTGGGTGACAGACGCAGAGATGTTGCTTTTTTATTACAGTTATTATCAAAGTGTGGCTGAGCTTTTTGTACCACTTTTTTTTCCTTACCACGTCCTCTGTGATCTAGAAATGAACAGACACACGGCAACGTGGAATCTACACTTTATCTGTTAAAGTGACACTAAAATACAGACTTTTTTACATTTCTAACATGAGAGATTTTTTCCTTATCGTAACTGTTAGTAATCCTGAAACATAAAAGTGCCTTATGTATGTATGTATGTAAGTAAATCTTTACTTAAACACGGAAAATCATCAGTTACATAATAAAAACTAAGATTAATTAACTGCTTTACATGATTGCCGTGTGGGAATCCTATATATCGACTACGTTAACATTTCGCCGAAAATGGTTAATGGATGAAGCATTTTTTAAGTTTTTGGCCAATTTATTCCATAATATGGCCCCGCTGTAAGAGAAGCTTCGTTTCCAATAATTGGTGTTTGGTTTGGACAAGGCCAGCCTTCCCTCAGAGTTTCTTATGTCGAACACAGAGTGACGCTGAGAGAAAAGACTTTGTAGATATTCGGGAGCAAGGTTGTTCATAATTTTATACATCATTAGGGCTTTTTGTTTCTCTCGTCGAAGAGATAGCCTCTCCCAATCGAGGGTGGAGAAAAGGTGGTTTAAGCTCGTATCAAAGGGTAGTTTAGTAATAATTCTGGCTGCTCGATTCTGTAATTTTTGGAGCTTATCGCTT